AAAAACCAAAACGCTACTTGGGATCACGGCTTCTATAAACAAAATAGAAAAAATGACTGTATCTGCAGAACTATTTTTTTTTTTAGATGGAGTTTCGCTGTGTCACCAGATGGAGTGCAGTGGCATGATCTTGGTTCACTGCAACCTTTACCTCCTGGGTTCAAGCCACTCTCCTATCACAGCCTCCTGAGTAGCTGGGATTACAGGTGCGCACCACCATGCCCAGCCAGTTTTTGTATTTTTAGTAGAGACAGGGTTTCGCCATGTTGGCCAGGATGGTCTTGATCTCCTGACCTTGTGATCTGCCTACATCAGCCTCCCAAAGTGCTGGGATTACAGGCATGAGCCACCAAGCCTGGCCTGTTTGCACAACTCTTTTAACCCATTCCTTACTGTCAGAATCATTTTCATTGCTCACAAAGCCCTAGAGAGTCTTATGAGGTTCTGACATTTTTCATGACATCAAGAAATTTAAGCTAACAAACAACTATATAAAGATTATTTAATATACAATCTTAGTATCTGTGTTTTCTGAAATAAAAACTTCTCATGAAATACCAAATATAAAGCATTGCATCTTTACATACTTCAGCCTTTACCACATACAAACATCTCTACTTTTACACAGAGTACTTTCTGAGCAATTTTACTTCTAACCAAACTTAGAATCCTCAGTGACTGAGGAATCCAGAGAGCCACTAACAATTATTTGTGGTTGATTGAAATATATCACTTATCCCTTACTTAACATTCCTTGGTGATGAACTCATCATCAGAAAAACCAGTTTGTAGATAGATGGTGTAGATATAGATATAAATAGGCATATACATATGCTATAATGAAACTAATGCATTTAAAATAAAAACTGTAAATATATTTTTTAAAATATTTATAGTGTTGATCCAGTAACGAGAAATCAACCAATTCACTCGTCCATTACCCATGAAAAAAAGAAATACAAAAGTAAAAAAGGATGATAAAGTAAATAAGATGACACGAGGAACAAAATTTAGAAGAACTTTAGCTGAGATATTAACAAATTAATATGAATTGCTTTTCAAACAAGCAAAGAAAAATAGTGCACAATTTCTTATGGGGTGATGTGAAGCAAAGATCATAGATCCAGTCATGTGAACAGATTAATTAATATAGTTACTCAGGACCTGAATTTCTTCATGCAGTCTTGGAGGTCCAGATTTCAGTGACTTCTGGTAAGCTTATTTATCTCATTTTTATATATTAAGGTGAGTTGTTTCAAATGTTCCTGATTTCATATGAAACTTTCTGACTAAATACTATGAACATAACCAATACAGGGTACCGTTGATGAAAAAACTCCATTGTAAGTAAAGCACATGGAGAATGGTAGAATGAGATTCTTCAGATTTTTTTTTTTAAATCTCCAGTGGCAAGGGTATGTTTCTGCCTGTTTTAACAGATAATTTATTTCAACTGTAGAACAGAAAACCTTGATTCTAAAATTATAAATTTATAGGATAACTGAACAATGCCTTTGACATATATGCCAGTTTCTTATAAATTATAATACTTGGTATCTTCGACCAGTGTAATAGACTTGATTTAGGCTTTGGGAGATTAATTCTTAAGCATTTGATGTTTGTTGTAGGCAGAATCCTAAGATGTTACCTAACGGGCGCATCCCCTAGTATGCATATGTCATCTATAACTCTTAACATCATGGGTATTTGGGGATATCACTCCTGTAATTGGGCTATGCTATATGGCGCAGTTGAACTTAAGAAAGGGAGGTTATCTAAAAAGGCCTGACCTAACTCATGAGCTCTTTAAATCAGCATCTTGATGTCAGAGTCAAAATTTGAAGCATGACAGAGATTCAAAGCAAAGTGAACTATCTGTTGATGACTTTAAAGACAGAAGGGCCCACTTGGCAAGGAATGTAGAAGGCCTCTAAATGGTGAGAGAAATTGATGGCCAGTAAGCATATGAGGTCCTCAGGCCTACAGACACAAAGAACTCTGAGCTCTGCGTGAGACCACAGCCTTGGTCATCATCTTGACTTTGGCCTGTGAGACCAAAAGAGAAGCCAGTCAGGTCAGGCCTCAACTTCTGACCCACAAAAACTGTGCGCTACAAAAATGTGTATAGGTTTACTAAGTTTATGGCAATTTGTTATGCAGCAGTAAAAAAATAAAATGACATGGAAAAATTGAAAAGTTTTTTTTTTTAATCTGAAAATCAAATTTGAATTATTCCACTGCAAGTGTTGCATTTGTGAGTCTAGTGATTTAGGTGGCCAATAAGCTAAACCATGCCCAAACCCAGAGGAATAATTTCAATTGAACTTTGTTGATTTCTTCTGATGGTGGCATATTTATTGCCTCCTTAGTGGTTGAGAAAGGGTCATTAAATTATTTGCGTTTGAAAATTATATGCAGTAATATAATTCCAAAATGATGACTTATGTGATTTCTCATGTTCTAGAATATCTATGATCCACTGTTTTCTATATTAGAAGCAAGTTTTAGGGCCAACAATGCCATCAGAGTGCTATATATTACCCAGTAGGTAAGTTGATTGGTGTGACGTAAAATGGTTTCAGTTTTTACTGTACTTTTATTCTACCCTAATGCTGTGTATAGGAATTGGTTATAGGCTATATAATAAAACTGTAGACTTTTTGCTTTCTGATAAACCACAGCTAACCTTGAGTGAGCATCTCTTACGTGCTAGGTACTGTTCTAGTCATATTACATATATTATCTCATGTATTTCTCACAACAAAACTGTACATTGCTATTGTTATTCCTATTGAATATATGAGGATTTTGAGACAAAGAGCAGTTAGGTAAGTAACTAGACTAAGATTAAACAGTTAGTAATTATATATCATAATAGTGAGGTTGTCTTCTCATATCAGAAAATAATTTATTAGGTTGCAGGGGGATTCAATTTGTTTTCAAAGAACAACATTAGCCATACTGAGTAACGCATTTTTCCAGCAAAGTGCTTGGTAGCAATATTAAGATTTATGGAGGCTCTACAGAAGGATGCCAACATCCGTTCCTCTAGTAAAATTTTCCTGGTTTCATCCAGATAAATAAACTCTTCCTCACCTGTACAGCATTAATTAGTTTAGCCTTATATAATTACTTTCACTTTGCCTGTACTATCCCTGTGTATTCAATAAACACCAAGAAATGCTATACTACAAAGCGCTATAGAGCTGTTCACTTTATTTGCTAAAGGATGAAATGGAGGGGATTTACAATGACAGTATGCAATGCTCTTTGTGGAGACACGTAAGAAAAATTTCTCTCAGGTCTCAGTGTCAGAATGGATTGCTGCTTCTAAAAACCATTGCTTACTTTC